ACCCTGAGGGTTGATTCAGATTATTCTGGTAAAGGAGACTGCATTTGTTCTGAGCCAAGCCCCACTTTCCTGAGCTCACGTTGAAATGGATACCCAAGGAACCACATTTTGGTAATTTCATGTTGGAGCAAAAGTCACTTTTTGGAGATAAGTGAAGAGGGGAAGAAGAAGGCAGCTGATTGATTTTTTCCAAAGCTGGCTCAGGAGTCAGGAGGCTGAATCCTTCTAACCTGTACAGAAGGCATGGAGACAGCTGGGAGAAAATGTTCCCTCATACCTACCGGCTGCAGCCAAGTCTCTTCCAGTCACCGTATATTATCAACTTCGTCTCCCCACTAGGTTCATGCCCAGTAAAATAAATGAAGTCATATTTTTGCCTGGTATAAATTATTAAGTTGTTCTTTACACGGTTGCTTTAAATCAAGGGTGTATTAGCATATCCGTGCCGCTCAGTCTCACACCTGCAGCATTTTCCCTCTCAGCTGAATTTGCCTCATTCATTCATTCATGCATTCATTCATGGGAACCAAATAGGTGCCAGGGATCCTACGTGCTGTGAAAGAGAGTAGATGAAAAAGGCATTTTCTCTGCACTTTGTAGGCCTTACTCTGGTGGGCAGGAGGAAGGTGGTCAGCACACGTGTCACTTGTAATCCAATGGAGAAAGTGACAAGGGCCACCAAGAAAGGCTTGAGAGTGTTCAGGAGAGGAAGAGGTTTTTCCTTCTCTCTTGGGGATGAGGATCAGTGGAGACTTCACAGAGAGGTGGTATTTAAACTGGTAGTGGGGAGCTGAACGGAAAATACATGCTAGGAGGGGAGACCTGCCAGAGGAAAATTCTAGAAGAAAAGCATAGGATAAATAGGACAAACACAGAGGCGTAAAGGGTATGGCTTGGCCGTGGTACGGGGTGGAAGGGAAGTGAGCAAAATGTCAGAAGGAGGAAAGATGAGCAGGGCCAGGTCAGAGAATGCCTTGCGTCCTCCGAAAACAAGGGCAGCCTCAGCAATCTGCTGTTTTACTTGGACCCCAAGATAGGCCAGCTGAATAAGGATGTTTCTGGATTCTGTACTTTATGAGCCCACCTAACCACACAGATTTTGATTACGTCATTGTCTGACCATTTTTGAAAATGGTTTTCTGTCTCACATGGACTGGGCTGTTAATGAGTGTGGAGTGTAAGTGAAAGTCAGCCCGCACTGTCCTTGTGCTGCTCACCGGCCACGTTCAATCACGGTGGCAGCACAACCATTCGGTTGCTTATTAATGCAAGAGATATTTGGTTTTGCAGCTGATGGGGATGGCAGGGAACGGGTTTTGAGAAGTCAGCTCAGGTGTGTGATTGCTCAACTGGGGATGGAGAAAAACACCGTTTACCCCATGCATCCATGTAGATGTCTGGCTAAGAAACAAATTATGTCAAGACTGTTCAGTGAGAACTAAACCTGTCAAAGCCAGAAAACCAAGCCCAGTGTTGTACCTAGAAGCCCAGAGAGAGGCTGAAGGGATAACGGGAAGTGGCTTCTGTCTTTTGAAATGGACAAAAGGCGCACTCACAGACACCTGCAGGTCTGTGCCAAAATGCTACACACACACACAAACACACCACACTCTGTACACACGACACACTCTCACACACTCCACACACACACTCCTTCGCACACCCCCACACACTCAAGCTCACATGCCCTCACATACACACTCACTCTTACACCACATACTCACACACACTCTTGCACACAACATACACTCACATCACACACTCACACCCACCACCCCTACACACTGATAAGAACCTGCAGGTCTGTGCTAATCTGTGACACACACACAACTTAGACTCACATTCGCCTCACGCACATACCACATTCACACACCATATACCCACACACTCTCTCACACACACACAGACAGGAACCCACAGGTCTGTGGTAAACTGCCACACACACTCACAAACCCTACAACACACACTAGCGTAGCTTATCTAAAAAAGAAAAGAAGGGTGGTGGCTGTGGCTCAAAGGGGTAGTGCCGGCCCCATATACTGGAGGTGGTGGGTTCAAACCCTAACCCCCGGCAAAAAAAAAAAAATAATAAAAGAAAAAGCAGCAAATAAAAATAACTTCCTCTCTCTACAGAACGAATTTTTTACTGTACTCTCTCTCAGCTAGTTCTAAAGTCCTGTCACCACCTTGGGGCTGTGGGCACCCGTGGTCTCTGGGTAATGCCAGGCTGTGCTGTTTACCCACCTGTCACTTCTCCCCTTTGACCTTTACATTGGACCAAGTTTTAGTGATTTAAAAAGCTTCCTAGCCCACTTGGTACTATAGAATTACAGATGATATAGAAATGGAATGTTCTGTTATTTTCACTGGAAAGGCTACTAAGACTCTAATCAGAATAATTGGAGTAGAAGAACTTCCCAGGCAGTCTCCTGGAGAACAGGATGGTTTAACTAAGAAAAAAGACAGTTTTAAATGTTCCTGCACATCAGAAAATCAGAAATTTGGGCATTGTGTTCTGTGTTAGTTTTCACATTGACCCCGCACTTTGAGTTCTGTCTTTATTCCTTCCCCCCAATGTTTAAACTCTTTTTTTTTTTTTTTTGAGAGCCAGCGGCCCCTTTCAGCGGGTGTCCCTATATTCTGTAGGGCGAGGCTGTTTGTGTCTGCAGCTAGTTCTGCTAAAACAACTTAGGCATGAGACAGTCGTGAGAATCTCTAAATAGCGTTGCCAGCAGACAGGACTCCTCAAAATGCTGTGGGTGAAAACCAAACCGCAGCAACAACAATGTACCTTTTATCAGGGGAGTGCTGAATTCATCAACACGAATTAACCATATTGCATTCCAAGGGTGATAAGCAAAAGCTTGTTTTCCCAGACGTTAAAGAAAAAAAAAATTAACAACCCAAAGACACACCTAGTCTTGCTTTCTACACTAAGCCCTCCTTTGCTCTCTCAACTACCTAGAATCTCGAGCTCCTCTGCATTTCAACCTTGTTAATATTCTAAACTCTGGTGCTTTGCTATTTTGTGTGTGTGTGTGTGTGTGTGTGTGTGTGGAGGGAGAGTTACCACTATTTCTTAACAGGTAAGTCTTGTCCTTCTGGGCAGAGTACAGATGGTTGTTTCTACTGCTCTGTTATTTCCCTCACAATCTAATTTGGTACTAGGTGCTAAGGAAATTACCCTCTCCAGGTTGCTCACAAATCTATGAAAAAGTCTCAGTAGGCTGAGCAATCTTTCAGAACCCGCTCCCTGACATAGCCAGCAGACAACATTAAACTGGGCACAAGGAATACCCGAGAGGGCAGGATTCTTTAGCCAATTTTCCAGCAGGCAGATCTTTGCACTGATGTATTTCACCTCCATCCTCTGTAATACTGACTGTACCTAGCCTGACCTGTACTTAGGCCAAGCCTCCAATTGCTACAGGAGTCATAATGCACTGACTTCCCGACATGCTTCAGTAAATTGCAGCCAGTGAAATATTTATACGCACACACTTAGCTTACCCGTTGGCTGTATCATGTGCTCAGTTTCTTTATGCCCCTTCTTGGGGCCTCAACTTCTCTGCCATTTCTGATCACGGAGGCTGTTGTCCACTTTATTGCCTTTGTAGAGTTCTTTCTTTCTTGGTCTTGGCACTAATTCTGCTAATTTTTTAATGGTATCATTTGTTATTTTCATTCTTCAGATTTGGGAATTAGTGTGAGTTTAAATGTTGATCAATAACGTACTAGCAATAGTAGCAAAGCTGCTCCTGCTTGGTTGATCTCAAATTACAACAAGGCTGTTGACCACTTTAGTCATGATTTTTTCTCCTATGGGAAAAGTGTTTTGAAAGCAAGTCAGTGACCATCGTGGAGTACGGGATGACCAGGTTGTCAGCCCTTGAGGGCACTCTCTGTTCAGCCGTGGAGAAAGTCACCGTCCACTGAGAGGCCAGGGAATTACTCAGAGCTTAACACAACTAAAGTTTAGTTTCTCTCTTTGAGAAAGCCCCATAGGTAGCACTAGCTTTAAGCAAAATCTTTATGAAAGGATTCCTTCTCTGAATTTTCCAAATAGGCCTCTTTGTTATTACCCCAAGAGAGCAGACAACCAGTCCGGGAATCAAATCTCCCTTATCATTTCCAGACTGTTTTACCTTGCCGTGAACACCCCATTGGTGGGAGGGCCACAAAAACGGCTCTCTCAAGCTTCCCTCAATCCACCAATCTGCCATTTCTGAAATTGTCCAGCCCACTTTTTCAGCCTCCTGTACTTGACTCCTACACCACGGGGAAGTCCCCCTTGGATTCCAAAAGAAAATTAAACTCCTTGGAATCCAAAACTAATAAACTTTCACAGAGTGGCCCCAGGTGGATTGGTTATCATGATATTTCAGTCTCACCTAACCAATAAGAGGGCTGGTTGGCACGTTCCCAGGATGAATATTCTCATATGAGCAGCGGATTAGGGGAGGCCAAAAGATTTTCGGCCATCTAAATGCTCAACTTACATCCCACCTGGGTTCTGAGGTGGGGATCCTGTGACGGTTGGGGCTTTGCAAAGCAATTAAAAGAAATAAAGCAAAGTATTATATTTTAATTGATGTAATCTTCAAGCTCCCAGTGGAATCTGGGGTGATATCTGACTAGAGTTACCCGAGGTATCAATGAAAGTGCATTTAGGAAGACCAAACCCCTCAGGAGTCCTGCACTTCATTACCATGTGTATCCGTTTGGGGGGGTGGGGAATGGGGACTGGCTCAGACTCCCAGGCCTGGAAATTGAAAGAAGCTACCTAGACTTCTCCAAGATCTGAACAAAGAGCCAGCAAAGGGGTATGGGGGGGGGGAGTAGGGAGGGAGGCTGAGCGAGGGAGAAAGAGAAGGACAGGTGGAGGGGAAGACCCAAAGTGGGCTTATGTTTTTATTGGCTTTTCGAGTCTAGCACCTGGATATTCGACACACACGGAATCGTACTTTCCAAACCAAAACAGCTTTCATCCATCACTAACGTTTCAGGGTTTGTTTCTGTTTTATTGTAAATTCCAGTCGAAGAAAGATCAACAGACAAGAAAAAACTGCTTTTATACAGTGTACAGAGTCAGATAGAAAATACAGAATGGAAAAGAAAGCCAACGACCAACAGATAAAAAGGGGAGACAAACCAAGGAAGGGGATTAGCTGGTTGCAGTTTCACTCACCAGCTTGAGTGAGGTGCGGCGGCGATGGTCTCAGCAGCTAATAGAAACTGTCTAGTGCTGTCCGTCTTATCTTCATTCCACACTGTGTAAGGAACAGACTTTATAAATGATGCATGGGGACACTGATGTCACTAATCCATTAAAAAAAGTTTGCTATTGATCAAGATATCCTGCTCATAAAAACAAGTTTTTTTTTTTAAAAAAACAACCCTTCCCGCCCCAAATGTGATCTGACAGTAGGAACCACATTGTCAGAAGCATGAGATGGAGCTGCGGGTCGGAACAGAGTGGCACCATTGGGGTCTGCAGTCACTTGGCCTTCGGGTGCCCCTCCCAGCTAATCCACGTTTCTCCCCGAGGCTTGAGGCAAGGTTAAAAAAATACACAAGTGTCTTGCACAGCTGACTGTCATCTGATGGTTTCGAGAGAAAAAAAGCAAAAGGATTCAAAGTCATGAGAGAGAAGAGGTCAGCTTAGGACAAAGCTGGCATCCTTCATCTGAATAATCAGGGTACCATTTGGTCCCCAGGATGGCAGCTCTAACTAACTGTCCTGGTACAAAGAGGATGCTGACCTCCCCAACCAGAAAAAACAGGAATTAAGCCCAGCATCTGCCAAAGATGTCTTTATTGTAGTACATTCAAACAGAAACAATGTGAAGACAATTCAATTCAAGGTGGTGGCAACGTTGGTAAAGGTGGAGGTGGAGGAGGCTGGCTATGAGTTTCTCTCTCCCTCTGAATTTTCTAAGTTTACAATCAGAAATTGCATAGAATTTGTTTTCCATCGGAAAATGAAAACTCTCTGCAGGAAACTCTCAACTGGTGAAGCTAAGCAAAGGTCAGGCAGCTGCTGCGAGCTCGCCCCTCCCTTTAGATACATGCTCTGGCCCTTGCAAACTTCTGGCAAGTGGAGCAGTAACTAGCAGTCATCTGATGGCCTGGAGAGCATCAGTAACTCCTATGTTGAGGATGGAAGTCATACAAAGGGGAGGCTACTGCCCGAGCTGAGGTTAGGACTCAAGAGTTCCTGGTTCCCAGGCTTGAGAATCCACCTCTCTCTCAGGAACCCAGCAAATTCTTGATTAGTTAAGGTCTTTCCATTTAGTGAAAACACACACACACACACACACACACACACACACACGAGATCGCCCATTTAAATAGCAAGAAACCACTCAATCCATGATAGCCTTGGGGGTCTGGTCACAGGCAGCCACTGAATTTGGTTAAAAAGAGATGCGATTGACAAGGTATTCACCATACCAACAGGGTGACCTTGACCTTCCTCCTCTATGAACAGTACACTCCAAAAAGAGGTCAAGGCCATGGTCTGGGAAAATTATAATTACCCTCTCTGCTCCTTAAACAAGAGCCAGGATAATTTGTGCATTATCTCCCTTGTCTTTGTTCAGAGCCCATACTCACAAAAGAGTAAATTAAACCCAATAATAGTGAAAGAAACAAAAAAGAGAGAGAAAGAAAAGACTGATTAACTCTTGAAAGTCCAGGTATTTTGAGGTCTCTCAGAGTTGACTATTTTTAATTACTTTTTGGCATTTAAAAAGTACTTTAATGGGCTTGTGAGACTCTCCACCTGATTCCTTCCAAGACCCTTTTCCTAAGCTCCAGCAGGTCCTCAATTACCACACAGAGAGGAGAGTTCAGCACCTGAAATCTAATGCACTGGCTACTCCATATCCTAAGATTCCGGGGAAAGGAATAGGGATTAGACTTCCATTCCCTAACCCAGCCTTCCCCTCCAAAAACTCAAAGCAACTGAACAGAACTGAGAAGATGACAAAGAAGAAAAGTGGAAAAACAAAACCAAAACCAAAAAAATATACAAATCCAGGAAAGAAAAAACGTCCCTGTTGAGTTTAATTCTTTTTTTTTTTTTTTTTCTGTAAGAAGTAGCCCGAGGGTACAATGGCCCCTTCCCGGGGGGGGAATTCAACTGAGGATTCCACCAACTCATTGGACCTGTCCGGGCAGGGACCCCCACCCCAGATTCTGTACTGTTTTGGCAGAGGAAAAAGCCCCCTAGGAGAAGATGGGTCCTTACGCCCACGAGGGGGGGGGAAAGCATCCTTTGCCACTTGGGTGCAACGTCTCTGGGTGGACCCCGCTCCGGACCGGGCGCTGTCTCTGGCTGAGGCGTCAGGCTCTTTGATCATTTTGGAAAGTGACTGGATCCAGAATCCGGAGAGAAGTGGTGACGCTGTACAAGTCCGGCCCGGCGGCGCGCGCCTCCCCACCTGCCTCCCTCCGCACGTTGGCCGCCCGCTACTCAGGCTCGCTGCTGTTGGTGGTCTTGTCCCACTCCAGGCTCTCGTCGCTGCGGGCAGGCGACGGCCGCGCCCGCAGGCCTTGGAAGCGGCGGCACTCGGGGCAGACGCGGATGTGCGTGCAGCCGCGGGCCACCAGCGCGGCCTCCTGCGCCAGTCTCTGCGCCAGCTGGTCCGGCTCGCCCGCCCCGCACAGCTTGCCGTTGCTGAGCGTCGCGGTGCCCCGCGGCCGACGCTCCTCGGGGCCCGGGGGCCGGGGCTGAGGGACCCCCGAGCGCCGCCGGCGGGGGTGGATACTGTCCTGACACAGGACGATGCTGCGCAGCTCGGAAACCATCTCCTGGCAGACGGACACCTGCGGGGCACAGCGAGGTCACAGCTCAGCCTCCTGGAACCGGCCCTATGGCCCCCGCCCGTGCTGCGTTGGGACTTTGCACAAGGGGACAGAGTTCACAGAATCATGTCACCTTAGATCTGAAGATTATCTCCTGACTCACACCCCCTTTTTATGTTCACATGCCCTCCATTCTGTAATGGTCAGGGCCCTAAAGCTGGTCTCCCGGATCTCTGGCCGCCTTCAAAGACGATGATCTCACCATCTTGGGAAACAGTCCACAGCATTTTTTGCCCGTTTCCATGAAATCCTGCTTCCATCTACTGTGCTACCAGTTTCTGTCCCTGAAATGTTCCTTCATTGATCCCAGCTAAATTTGGACCTTGCCTACTAAATAAATAACCCCTGCATGGCGCGTCATCTCTCCAGCATTTGAAAAAGCCACTGTGTCTCCTTGAACATTCTGTTCTCCAGCTACGGAATCTCCTTTCTTTTAGCCAACCGGTTACAGCAGGAGATAAGGCGTTCAAATGCTCACTAAACCGAAAGCCACCATGACCAGGGCAGGGCCACAACCTCCTAGTACGAAATGTTTGGCTCAGGCTGAGTCTCAAGATTCAGAATATTCTGGACGTTTTGAACTTTAGGAAGATAATGCAACACACAAACAGTATATTATGTGTGACGCCCAGTTGGGCCGGGGCAGACTTTTAGCAACAGGTACGTATGCTCATAGTGCATGAGATAAAGACCAAAAACACGGGTCAGGTTTTGTCACTGAATGTGTCTGCTCCACACTTCCAACGACTGCAACTTTGCAAGCTTGGGTTTCAGAATTATGGATGAAGAATCAAGAACCTGAATTACTATGCTATTATTATATCCATTTCACAGATGTGGAAATGGAGGCTCAGAGAAGTTATACATCTTGCCTTTATTTGACTAATCAATAGCTGAGCCAGAATTTGGACGTAAACCTATCTAACTCCAAGCCCATGCATGGTCTGTTGACGTCTCTACTCTGGGCTGGCAAGGACACTTTCTTGGATCATGATGGGAGGAGAAGTCTGCTCTTCCATCCAGTTATACCAATGGGACAGTTGTTCCACCATAGCCAAATAGCTAGTATTCCCTTTACTCTTCATTTTAGCTACTGGGAGTGCTCTAACTCCTTGATGAATGTGTCAGAGTGTATGTCCAGATCATGAGCTTTTAGAAGAATAACCAACTGTGCAGTATGTACAGAGAGGCAGTGTCACCTAATGGAATATGGTCTGTGTTAGGATTTGAGTCCTAGATTCTAGACCCACCATTGTCACCAAAGAGTAGAGGTTCTTGGAAAATCACTTAACCTCTCTGTGCTTCTAAGAATAACTGTGACCACAGAAATGACTCCTGCCTAATCTGTTACATACGACTAGAATAGAACAACATAGATTTGTTGACTATCTACTCTATGTCAAGCATGATCACCTGCAGTGGAAATAAAGTGATAAAAGACACAGTCCTTCCTTCAGGCAGTTCAATGTCAAAGAGGAAGGTCAACAGGAAAATAATTGCAGCACAGTGTGTAAGTGCTGGGTGTTGGGAAGGAGGAAGAATGATCAACTCTACTGGCCCAGGAGAGTAAGGCAGGAGAAATACAGATTTCACCAGGAAGCAAACACCTGAACTAGGTCTTATGGCATAATTAAGTACCACTATCATTTAAGAAATGGGCCAGGGGAGAAAGCCAGTACAGCTGAATGTGAGAGGAACCAAGAAAGCTTTGTGCCCTGAGAGGCAAGTGAGGAGAGGTTCTGGAAAAACAGTCCACACCATCAAGGAGCACATTGAGAGCCAGTAAAGCCAATGGATTCTATTTGGTTTTGTCCTTCAGGAAGGGTCAGACTTTTAGCAATAGCCTTTCAATTTAGGGCTAAAAGCCAAGCTGCCCTGGCCCTGCCAAAGGGTGAGGAAATAGAGATTGATATTCTTAGATCTCCTTGGTTTGGAAAAGGGGAGGAACAGGGCGAAAATAATAATAATCTTGCTATTATTTTGAACTATGGCACAAATTTGAGCATATTTATGGGTTGGGGGGGTAAGAGCAGACAGAAAAAATATAGGGGAGAAAGAGGACAGTCTTAGAGTAGCTGAAAAAAGATGGGATCAAGAAAGGAGGAGGGGGCAGCGCCTGTGGCTCAAAGGAGTAGGGCACTGGCCCCATATGCTAGAGGTAGCGGGTTCAAACCCAGCCCTGGCCAAAAACTGCCAAAAAATAAAGAGGAGGGCTGGGGCACCTCCTGCTGCCTCTGCCATAGCTGTGGGTAAATTCTTAGGTGGGGGTTTTAATCTGGGTCACTGTAGATTTCTTGGAATTGTGGGAAGATGAAGCTTTATGCCTGCAGGAGCAGAGGGGCTTGAGGCATGGGTGTCAGTGTGAAAGTCTGTGCGGGAAACAGGAGAAGCTGACCACAGACCAGAACGGGAGTGGCAGGTGGTGTTATGCCAGTGTCCTACTTGGGGCTGGACTCCACAGACTTTCAGGGTCACTGTTTACAGTTATGAGATGTTTCTCTGCTGCCAGTTGGGAGGAAGGTTTCAGGAGGACCCAGAGTTGGGAGACTGAGATAGAGGCTAATGTACTTTAAGAAACTCTAATAAGGCAATTAACATGCAAGGATTTGTGTACCTTCTCTGGGGCAGAATGGAAGAAGAATTGGGTAAAGATTTCTTCTCAGACTCTTCAATCTGTGTAAAGTGTACATTAACCCCATCTCTACGTCATATCCGGGGAATTAAATTTATTCAGAATCCCTGAGATGGAAGATATAATTCTTGGGTTTACAGGATTTGGGATAACGCTAAGGATCTTTAATATTCAAGCCAAAAGGACTGAGGTCTTTTCCATAATCAGCCTGGTTCTTTCACCTCTATTTCTTTAATTCACTACATCTGAAATTCTAATTCTCTTAGGCTTTTGGTTCATAAAACATTCTTCCTATATTTGATGGGCTGTTTGAAAGAAGAACCTGAAGCCCAGAGGGGTTAAGGGCCCCTGCTGTGGCTGTATAATTACTAAGTGGTGGATAACTAAGAATTAACCAGTCCTACCCTAGGAGCTGAGATTCTCTGCATTGTGCTACTTATGGGCATCCCACCCTCCAGTAAGGTTTCATAGGTTTTGTCTGAAATGACTTTCATATGTGCAAGAGCCTGGGAACTTCACCCCATCTGCCAACCCTTTCAAAGTTTACCTCAGTTGCTTCTGAGTGTCTGAGAGTCCACAAAAACTCCAACATAGCCATAAAAATGGCCACGATTAAGCCACAAATAAGAACCACAAAGATTCCACCAATATTCTCCATTCCCAGGCCTGTAAAAAAAAGGGACAACAAATGAAAAAGATTGTAAAACAGCAAGAAGACATAAATTTCTTCTACCCAAAATGTCAAAGGCATTTAAACAAAAAGAACTTGAGTCTTATAGATGTTTTAGGCACAGATTCCATGAAGAGATTTAATTATCTGTTTAAAAAACTGTAGCGTGGTTGGAATAAACTCCAGGAGGAAGATCTTGCTGCAAAGAAAGGAGACTGGCGGGAAATCTACAAAGGATGTCTGGGGGTGGAAGGGAAGGATCATCTTAAGGAAAGGTCTCAGGCCAGATCTGATTTAGCTTATAGAGACACAATGTCAAAACACCTGTAAATTCAATCTTCCTAATACTGTGTTTGCAACTATTTTAACCAAACCATGGATAGCAGAAATCATGTTTACCTGTCTGCAAAAACATGTTACTAAAATGCTTCCTTGTAAAGTAAACTTTTGTCCCACCCAACTAGTGGTTCCCAAACCTGGCTGTCACCAGAACTGCCTAGAAATATAGATTCCTGCTCTTACCCCACACCCGTTGAATCAGTGTCTCTGGAGAGGGGGCCCAAGAATCTGTATTTTAGGTGATTTTTTTCTTAGTAGGCCTAAAATTAGTTTACAAATTGGCATTTTTGGAAGCATCGTCTCTAAGTTTTTAAAAATTTCTCAAAGTCAGGCATAATTTCTGGTTGTATTCTCCTTACCTAGCATGCTACCTTCCATATAGTATGTACTCAAGAAATGTTTATGGAATTACATGGGCTGTTTCGTTTCCTCAGCGTCAATCACTGAGTCTAGCTATGTCATTAAATGTTTTCTCTCTGGCATTAGAGAAACCCGAATTTTAGGGGGTATATCATAAACGCACAAAACACTCATTCAACAGGGGCCACATCATCAATCCTTTTGATCCAGGAAAGGCCAAGAGGGTAGCTTAGGTCCTGTGCTTGCACATTTCAATGCTCATTCAATCAGTAGGGTCATCACAGAACATGGAGCTGTGTTAGTGTCAGGGACAATCAGTCTCATACAACACCATGAGGTGAGCCACAGTTCAGAAGCAGAAGTATGATGGAAAAATAGCCTTACTTGGCCATTTCAAGATGACTTGAGTTTCCTCTCACAAAGCCCTACGTGGATATTTATTTTATTTTGTTTATAACAGCTAACACTGAGAATCCACATACAGTCAACCTCCTAAGTACCTGTGTGAATGTGGGATCCTCTATTTCAAATAGTGAAAAATGGAGGATTGTTATAAAACTCAATTCTACCTTAAGGGCTAAAACCCTTAACAACACATTTGGAGGTCCCGTCTCACATAAAAGTAGACGAAAGTGCACCCACATCCTATGTGAACACCTGCCCCCGCTAACCTGGGGTCATTTGGGTAGAAGGCTTTTGACTGTGAGAGTATCGGGATCCACAAGATAAGGGGACAAAGGAGCCACATAAGAGGGACTACATCGAGGATCTGGTTGGGATCTGTAGGCAGATGCTCCAGCCCACAGGTTTATGGTGGTGAGAATCAGCTATTAGGATGTCTGTCTGAGCAGCGTGGATGGACTAGTTTCTCCAGCCAGCCCCTGTGGAGGGAGATTGGGTGAAGATTCCCAGCAAAGGGCAGGTGACAATGGTGATACTAAGGATGGCCACCTGCTCGAGGAATGGGACCCGCCATGTGACTGTTGAGATACACCTACTACAAGACTCCTGGATTACCTGGGGGGTAGCTCTGCCTGAGACAGAGAAAGAGAGTGAAAGGGGCTCACCTTCCTCTCTCTTCTGTGTGGAGGGGACACTTCTGCTTTCTAGAACTTCTGCAACCCATGTTCTAGCTGCATCCCCAGCCTCCCCATTGGTCACCACTCTGTCCTCTTCCAATCTTCTCTTCCCCACTGGCTCCTTCCCACAACCCATACACATCCTCATGTTTCTCCCTCCTTAAGGAAAAAAAAAATCCCTCCTTACCTTCTCCAGCTCAGTCTAATCAACAGCCTTTCTCGCTCCTTCCTTCCAGGGCCAAGCTTTTTGAGAGCTGTCTCTATCAGAACTATTTTAAGACCTTCTAAAAGCCCTTAAAAACACTTAAATTTAGAGTTCCTATCTCACATAAAAGCAAGTAGAAGAAAATGTACCCACATCTTATGTTAAACGTATTTTTAAAGTTTGGCTTCTAATATTACAAAGCACCAAGAAACAATGAATTTGCGATTGGCTAATTTCTCAGCAATCATTGTGCATACGAGGGAATGGTGCAAAATGAAAAAACCTAACCAAAAATTGTTTCCAGATGAAGTGAAGTTTTGGTGAACATTACATTTAAAAATGAATGAAGTTGAAGCAATGATACCTGTTGGAGATATTTAAACATGTCTTATACTTTAGTTTTGCAGGGTTCTTTTTGAATTTCGAAACCCATAATTTTTTCAGACCCTGAAAATAATTTTGGACACTTGAAAAGCTTTTTCCAATAAAATCACCCTTGCCTTGGTCGCCAATGAACATTTTCTTTCTCACCAATTGGAAATTCTCCAGATCTGCTCTTACGCAACCTCTCAGCACTTGACCTTGTCAACCACACCCCCTTTCTTGGCTTTTTAGAAAGCCATTGATCACTCCCCGCTTTCTTCTAATCATCTCAATCTCCTTCACTTGCTCATTTTCTCCTTATTTTTCTACAGTTGGTCTCTTGCCTCTCCTCTGTGGACGAGCTCTTAACAATCAAATCCTGCTGATTTTACCTCCTAAATATTCTTTAACTTCTTACCCTTCTTTTTATCCCTGCTACCACTTCCCTAGTTCAAGCGCCCACTATGTCTTGCTCAGACTATTGCAGTAGCCTCCAAAACAATGTCCCTACTTACAGCTGTTTCCTCTTCAACTCT